ATTGTGCCCGGTAATTGGCAATAGGCTCACTCCCTATTACATGGGACTCATAACATAAATAGTGAAAAGTGGGTGTTACATTGTACAGTAGTATAAGTAATGTACACCTCTGCCTACATTACATTAAAGGCGTGATGTTATGTGTTAATTGTGAAACTGTGTTTGTTTAACTTTTAATAAGTATCTTTCATATCGCAACAGAACCATTTTGTTTAACGCGAAATAGGTTAGACTATATTTCTTCCTAAATACATTGGTGATGTAGTTTGTCAAACTACGTTAATACCACAAAAATTGCGAATGAAATTGTGTATCAAACAATCACAGAGTGAACACATAGCTTAACATATTAATACTAAGATACAGTTAACAATAGACGTAGGTATATAACATGAGAAGAAAAGTTTTTATTGAACTGATCACTATTATCTGATGCCATTACGATCCCAATAGACATTTTACCAGAAATTAATTATCTACCTTACTAATGAGCATTTAGAATGCATTTTCTATTATTATCATTTACTTTGTGGTAACGGCAGATAGTTGTGACCAGCCGTACTGTACCCGCTTGTATCGAATGAGTCAGGTATTGCGTCTTTGTATAGGAGACCCATATTCTAGCAGCTCTCATGGTTTTCATGTTCTGAAGCTGTGGACAACTTAACAGGTTGCCAGGGCTTCGGCTTGAAGTTCGAGTAGGAACGCGGTGGTTTTTAGTCAGTAAGAGTTTGACACTCCTTCTCGGGTCTCGCTTTTCCCATGTTGGAAAAAGTCATTGGATGATATGGCAATATTAAAAGAAATATTTTTTTCTTTTTTTTTTTAAACGTTGCCCCACACTAGCATTTTCTTCTGTATCGTGGGTGCGTTTACAAACAAACAAGTTCACATACACATGACACCCAGAGCCAGACCAACAGTTTGTGGATTACACAAAGAGTAGCGCCGTGCGGGAATCGAACCCGCTACCCGTTGCACGGCAGCCAGTTGCTCAACCACAGCACCAATCGTGCAGTCAATGAAAATGATTTGTTATTGACGATAAAGATGACGATGTGTGTTTCTTTAGTGCATAAACAAAACTAAAAAACGATGTAAAAACTATATAAACTGATAAAGAATCAGATTTCCTGGAGGCGAGTGGAATTATTATTATAATGAAGGTAATTTTACTTAAAAAGTCGCTGAAAAAACTGACCTCAAAGTTAGTATACATCTGTCTACTCCTTTAAGGAACAACAAGCGACATGGAACCTATTTATACGTATGCTAAAATCACCAATGAACCGTGTGACCCATTTAACGCGGTTAAAAAAAATCTCCTTTTGCATACACATACATACCTACATAATATAACTAGATACATATAAGCTTTCTGTAATCTGAGTTTTTATCTGTACGCTACTAGTTAAAGGGGAGCGGGTATAATGCTACACATTACCATATAAACTAGAGCTAACGGAAGGATTCATGAATTGCATTGGATACGGCTTTTACAGCCAGTCACAATAACTTACTAGAGGCCCATTTACCCCTCTCCCCAATCCCCGAATCCCCAATGATGCTCAAATTCCTAATCCCCAAAAGGCAAGTAACCCTCTTGTAACGCCTCTAGTGTTTCGGATGTCCATAGGCGGCGCTGATTGAAAACCATCAGGTGATCCGTCGGCTCGTTTACCAGCTTATACCATAAAAAACATATTTAATCATTTACTTACTGGAAATAGAACTCTAATGCAGTTTGTTTAGAGCTTATGTCAAACTAAATGGTTGAAATCCTCGGGAACATTCGGTAAGTCATTTAACCTGGACACGTTGGCACAATTAAACTGTTGTCCCATACATGGTCAACTATGCATTCGTCCTTCCTCTGGTGTTGAATCTTAAAGCTATAATAACTGATGACGAAAGGCTATTTTAGTTGGTAATTTATAGCATAAAAAGATAGGGAAAGGGTTTTCTTTGGAAAATATATATCAAATAGTGTAAAAATTTGTTTCTTTCGATATGTGTGGAAACGACCTCACTGCATATGCGAAATATGCAAAAAACCGCCCGAAAGGGAGAGAAAGAATCAACTAGGTTATCCTTGTTTGATTTATTTAGCGTTATCGCTAGGATAATAATGAATCTTGACTTTTGTCAAGTCTATAGTTTTTACAAAGACAAATAAATAATAATAACATTATCTTTACCATATCCTACAATAGTTACAGCTCTTTGTAAAAGTGGGATAAACCCGATAAAACCCAGAGCGCACAAAGGCCGCCCATCGGAAGCTGCATTACCGACTGTGCCCTGTGATAATGCACTGCTTACCGACATTTCCTTTACCTGTTTGAGATTAGCTATGAATTAAATGCTACGATTTTGTCTTTATAACGATACGAAGACCATTGGTAATTGCTGGAGGTGATTACAAAAAAAGTTAATATAATTGGAAAAATAGTTTTGGTATCTGAATTTACGAATTCAAAAATGCGGTATTTGTCCTCGTACAGAATACGAGCCAATACCCGATGCCCGTTATATAAAACAAATACTATTATAAAGACCTACATTATCTTATACCTGAAAAATCTGTTTATTCTCTAAAGGGTCTTTTTTTGTGACAAGCCCGCCACAACCTCCCAAAACCGCTGCAAGTCCTGGGAGCTAGGATCTACAGTAGATACAAACATGAAAACACCGGAAAACTGAAGTCCGGCGCGCCCCAGGGACATGAATCACTGTCTTGGTTCCCGCAACGAATCAGAAGATATTATAAAAAACGATAGGATCTCTGAAGGGTTATTGTTAACAAATCGTTTCAAGACAGAGTCTCAAAACAAACCCAATTTACATAACAATCTGCATAAAGAAAATGATCTCTCTTTAAATCACCTCTAATAAATAGCATACAATATCTCAAAACACCATTTTTCTTAACATTTACATTATAATAGTTGAAGAAAACTTCTCATAAATTCAGCTTAAGTTTCTGTAACACTCGATTTCGAGGGAAATGCAGACGACAGGTAAAAGCCGGTAACTGATGGTAGAGAAAACTAGATTTGAGATGTAACAAGTCAAAGATGATACCTGTTATTGCTATTAAATAACAGATGTCAAAGATGATACCTGTTATTGCTATTAAATAACAGGTATTAAGAACAGATACCATTCTACTTTTGGTGCTTATTCTTTTAATTTCGAAACAGCTATTTGTATAACTGACAGGTATTTGACCTGCTGGGGTTGCGGTTGACATATAGGTACTGTGGCTCCAGCACGAAACTGGTGTCGAAATATTGGTCTTTTAGTCAGCAATAGTCTGATATTTTCTTTCGCCTCACAGGGCGTAAGAAGTCATTTAATGATTTGCCACCCACACAAATGCTGTTATTTGAGCTGCTACTTAGTCTACTGGTGCTGTTATTTAGCCGCGAGAGCAACTGTTATTTATTATGTTATCAGTGTAATTCTTGTTACTTATACCTGTGATAATAAACATGCCAAATGCCTAAAGAGAACGAACGACAATAGGAAACTTGGAGAGATACGCTCGTGTTTTGTTTTTCCGGGAACGAAATATTTATTGATTTCCGAAGTATAGGAAATGATGGAACACGGTTGAAGAGGGATTTAGGAAAATTGTATCGATGTGTTTTTGGTGGGCTTACTTACTTAGGTACTTAGGTACTTAAAACCAATTTATAAACTATACTAAATTTATAATTGTAGGTACGCTTTCGCGCTATTTCTGTTGATTTTTTAAGTGATATAAATGTTATTGACTACATCTTGCGTAGTGCAATGTGGAGCACTAAGGGAGAGATGTGTTGTTCTTTCTTTCTGACTGCCGTTTTGGGTTCGATTCCCGGGTCGGGCAAAGTATTACTGAGTTTATAAAAAATTCTCAGTAGTAGCACGGAGTCTGGAATTGTGCCCGGTATATGGCAATAGGCTTACTATCTATTACATGGGACTCATAAAGTCATAACATAAATAGTGAAAAGTGGGTGTTACATTGCACAGTGAATTACTATGCACCTCTGCCTACCCCTTCGGGGATAAAAGGCGTGATGTTATGTTCTTCTTATGAATAACTTTAATCAAGTATCTTATTAACTAACTTCCACTATGTACTTAAAGGGCGAAGAGTCACATACACCACAAACGATTGAGTATTAAAGTTCAAAGTCCCATGTACAAAAGATATGCCATATTTTATAATAACTATCGTGAGAAATACTAAACTAGTTAGTAGAGAGCGGTCACCGGTGACCGCTTGGGGATAAAATGATTCCTTTCTATCATGATAATATCTGACATTTCACTTTATAGTACGATATCGCATATGTTATCACACGCAATCTAGTTCATTTTCTATGTCAGGAAAAAAGGGATTTCTCTTAAGAAAATGTTGTTGGAAAGACGTCGAACGACACTTCACGATGACACTGATGTTAAGAAATATTTTAATATTTAATGATATCATTTTTATGTATGTACCTTAATAAATTATATATTTTGACACAAATATTTATTTTGATTGCACGATTGGCATTGTGACTGGGCTACTAGCTTCTGTCTTATAAAATGTGTTGTAGGTTTCATAAATCTAAAAACCTCAATAATACTTGGGAATCAAACCCGAGACCCCTTACTCTACAGTTGCATTAACGACCATTTCAGCAACGAGGCGTTTTCATTTAACAAATTATAAAATAGAATACAATAATCTTTATTGTACACCATTTATATAATGTAGTACATACAGAAAAAGAAATAAAAACAATATTTTCTTTCTACAACAAAGATACAAAACGAAAATCATAACGCGACCAGTAAACTACAAAAAAAAGTAAAAAAGTCGTTTCTACAATACGGTTCATATCTCAAAATATAAAATATTTAATTAACATTATTAAAGTACTGTAGTTTTCTACCACGAATGTCACTAAAGTAGCTTTATTACGAAAAATTTAATTAAAACTGCATTTATTTGGTTTCAGGACGCTGATACTGTCGAAAAGCTGAACGAAAGTGGAGAACTGAGGAAGATGCTGAAACCTTACAAGGTAGAGTATGGGGATTTGTTATATTTTAATTAGATATTTGAAGACATATAATTATTCCGGTCTTATTGATCAAAACGATAGACGTAGATAAACATATGGACTTCTTGCGATTAAATTCTCTGTTTGCTTATATTTTTATCATATTGTTACTTGCGATATTCCCGACTCCATGCTAAAAGTCAAATGTAAACATTTAACAATATCTGGTCCAAAATAGAATGAATTTCAGGATGCGTTGTATCATGTTCTTACTCGTGCAATAGTATTAATTATTATCTATTACCTATAGATAATATTAGCGTTGAGCCCAATTTCGCCTGTTGGATAAAAATTGACCCTCTGTTAAATATAACGTAAGAAATTTAAAGTCTATGACCTTCTAAATCGGATACTTACCTTAATCATAAATGAATTATTTCGACTGATTTGTTGAACTGAATTACTTAATTATACAATAAAATGTTAAAAAAATAATCACACTTTCATTAATTGATTTTTGACCAACTTAATTTTAGTATTTTTCCAGCAAATATTTAAGTAATGAGTATCAAACAGCACACAAAAAAAACGTGACGTCACAATACACAAGCTCGTACAAAATTCATTAAAAACTGTCGTTATTAACAGTTCGAAAAAAGTATTGAATTTGATTAGTTGGCGACCCAATTGCCCTAAAACAATTATTCATATCCAATTCATCAAAGATCACATGGCAACTGATAAAATATAATCCATTTACTCAACGTCGAACACATAGAAGTACTAAAATAAAGTTTGTGTTCCTTGTTCCTTTATCCCACGTTCATTGGATCCTTGTGGGCGGTGGGATCACCTAATTTGTGTTGATCAAGATGTAGTGAGGATGTAATTGAGACCTAAAATAAACTATCAATTGATTTCAGTTTAGAAATTGGATTGAATTGGACAAAATTGGAGTGCTAGTTTTTGTTTTCCGACAGCACAATTGGCGGTGCCGTGCAATGTGTTAACGGTTCGATCCTCGACCAGAGCATTTCGTTGTGTGATCCACATATTGTTGTTTCGGGTCTGGATGTATGTGAATCTATACGTTAGTAAAAGTACCCTTGATAGATGACAATAAACTGTTGTGGGGAAACGTTTAAAAAAAACTAGAGTCAATGTTTGACAATCTTATTTTTTTTATGCAATGTCATTGTTGTATATAAAGCTTAACTATTGTATTGACGAAGGTGTCACTGGTACAACACTATAAAGTAGAAGAATTTGGAATAAAAAATATGTATACAGACATATTTAGTAATAAGCTTCATGCCTTTGACGTAGGACTTGTCACGTATCTAACGAAACGTAAAATAAACTTTCATACATTCACTGTAATAAGAAGGTATCAAAGAAAATATTATAAACTCTAGCTAATAATTACAATCTAAGAAGAGAAACCTACAATAACCATATCCTAAGAACGACACTCTGTATGCAACAAAGCAACAATTTCCATACATTTTACGTTACATTGCACGTCTTTGTACGTCTGTGAAGCATATAAATTACAAGTCGGGAACAATGTCATCATTTATGCTTCACTCTAGTTGCAAATGTGTATGATGGGGACTGGATAATTTGGATTATTCGTTACAGGGTTCAGATAATTTAGGATTAATCTAATTATCCTAAAAATGTCCTGAAAAAATTAACATGTGTATAAAAAGTTACCTGTCTGTGTTATCTGCACTACTTAGGAACATTTGATTTAAACTGGAATACACTTTTGTAGAACGGGAACTGAACTCTAGATTCCTTACTCGGTCGTCAGACCCACATGACCTACAAGTCGGTCTAATAAATACATTAATCGTTGATTAGGTTTCATTGCAAGTTATTTCAGAAATTCTAACTGGCTAGAGACACAAAAATATTAAGGAAAACAAACTGTATATTCATATTTCTAGAACACTCAATAGAATTTAACACACGACGGAATATTGCTTAAGAAGAGAAATCCTTTCCTTCTACCAATTTGTATATTATTATAGTTAGCACTGCTTGAGACAACATTACATATATGTATTATGTAATGGAATGTCAACTCTAAGTGTAAGTACAAACAATACGAAATTGTGTGGTCAAGTTATTGGCAAGCCTATTTTAATGTCAGAGTACATAATGGTAACGACAGACTTAGAAATAAAATGAATTTTGTAACCAACCTTAATTCTACTGCTGGTATATCGTAAAGCTAATTACACATATGGAGTAGTGCCCTCTGATAAACTTAACACGTTAAACGCCATGGGGGTCACCGGTGACCGGCGTTAGCGGAGGATTTACCTTCAACAGTTTTTTAATGGCAGTCAAAGTCTTAACCATGCTCAAATCCATTACCCCAGAAGACCAGCATGGCGCTTGTAACTCTGGTGTTTTGGTTATTCATGGTTGTTTCTTACCATGAAGTATCCTACCGGCTCATTTGCCTTCTCATACTCTAAAAAATTCGCGCATCTAACGTAAAATAAAATATTGTGTTATTGTAATAAGTGTTAAACTTTTATACCTACTATTGTGTCTCTCTGCATCACCCTAAGGTTAACTGTTAGAGAATGCCACTAGGCATTAAGTCCGCCATTGTATATTTACAAAAAGTGTAAATAAATAAATAAGAATCCTGGCAAACTTGCTTAGGTTTATAGAAGAGACTAATAGTCCAGTATTAGATTGAGACGGGCTCATGATGATAACATAGTACTAGTACATCAATTTCGGTTTTACGATATTATCAGACAAGATAGATACCAAAGTAAAATGCACTTTCTCAATGCTATGTCATTTCAGACGATGGCATTTTTCATTCCTCTTCGGAACATTTTTCGCAGTAATAAAACGTAAAGAAAGTTTAGATAGAAAAGTTAAGATGATAGGTATTGTTCGCTATTTATGGCGACAATGAATGGATAGTCGTAAAAGTTTAAGAAAGATATGAAATCTGATAAATAAATAACATTGCTTGAAGGCCAAATACCAAATACCAGACGAAAAAGTAAAACGAACTTTACAAATTAATTATAAAAAAAATGTTTAATTAAATCAATAATTGTAATCTCTCCACCAATTACCTTTTTAACAAAATGGCGACAGGCCGTTGACAACGAACTTTATGACGAAAAGAAAATAATTGCAAAATTGACAACATACGTGTCGGTCTTATGCAAGAATGTTTACCGCGAACAAATTTCGACATTTTATAACGTAACATGAAATTACTAATGAGTGTTATTTTCCAAACATGTTATGGCTCTGATTTATCCCTGATTTTGTTGAATCATCATCCTAAAGAAAGAAGCAATGAACAAACGGAAATTCTATATTTCCTAACACTATCACAATTTTTTAAACGGGTGAAAATCATCGAATATCTTCTCTTTCCGGCCTGAGTTAGGCGGCAGAGAGTGTCAGACTCTTACTGACTAATAAACACCTCGTTCCTACTCCTGGACTTCTAGCCGGAGCACCGGCAATCCGTTAAGTTCTCCGCGGCTCTTTCTCTATCACTAAATTTGTTGAGTGATTGTAAACACGACTGCCAACTACTACCGCGCTTGGAAAACCTCAGAATTGATTTCTGGGTCGGGAAAATATCATCAGCATTATTCCCAGCACTAGCCTGGAGTCTAGATTTGTATCTGGCTATGTCTAGAGTCATTCCTTAGCAATGGGATTTATGTCATTATTGTTAAGAAGTGCCTACCTCTTTAGAGTAGAGTGACGTTATTATTATCTTTCCTGACCCACGACTAGAGACTTAACCAAGTCTTTAATCAAACCACACTACTAACGAAGCAATTACGAAACACAGTTTCATAATATTTGAATACTTTTATCGTAAATTATTGCATGAGGTGTAAATTTGATAAAGGTGACTTGAAGGCCGAATTGAAGAACAGGTTCAATAATAATTGACGTTCGGATACGAAGATTGAAACTATGAATGCTTGTTGTATATGACCTTTGATGAACTCTCCATAATACATTGTTGTTTCGACCTTTCAACGTGTATTTCATTACGTTGAAACATTATGTGAAGTGTATGTACTATCTTCATTGATGGTTGCAATACAAATTGAGGTGTATTTGTATTTGCACTCGCAGCTGGAGATTTGTTTCGGTCACTCTGGTTAAATGGTTGTGTATTTGTTTTTAAAGGAGTGGTAGAAAATTTGTGGTGTAATACGTTTTTGTTTGTTTTATTGTATGTATGTGTTGAGCTTTTACGGACACACTTAACCATAGTTTTTACACATCGTAATTATCTAATTGTAAGAAAAATTTTATGATTCATATGTCATTGATCAATCGGAGTATTCACAGTATTTTTGCAAAAATCAACTACAATTGATTTTAAACAGCGATAACATTTAATACAGATTTATAATATAAGAACAACTAAACAACATCCCAAATCAATACCAAATTTGACAAAATTGGGTCAAGACCAACTCGCTTTGAACTTCATATTTCAAAAGGAAACAAATGCGATACATCGTGTAGGTACTTTATAGATGACAAAGACGTGGCATATGCCGGACGTGCATCCTCTGCTCGACATGTTGTTACAAACTGTTTACCGTTGTTTGTAGATGGTCTAAGGCAGGAGAAAATAGATATTCTCAAATTGCCTCTAAATTTTTTATGGGTAAACCGGTAAACGAGCAGACGGATCACCGGTTAGCAATCAGCAGCACATGTAGATACACAAAACACCAGAGAAGATACAAGTGCGTAGCCAGCCTCTTTTGGGGTTAGAGGTATTTCCAATGGGCTCCTTCCTCAAGGACGGAAAAACAAAAGAGCAGTATTTTTCTTTGCAAAGCTTAACTTTTTTTTATTCGGGACGATTAAGTTGCTTTCAATTTCAATACCACCCGTTATTAATTTATCAAAATATAAAATGTCTTATAAAACCACCACAATTATTACTAGTCTTTCCTGCTAGTTAGTAAAAAATATTACTTCATTCAATATTTATAATAATAACAATAAAAATAATAATAATAAGAACTCAGTGGTTTTTTTTTAAATCCAGCAGTGTGTTAAGCCGATATTGATAGTGATGATGATGACTGCTTTACTAACTTAATTCTTTTCTCAATTCCAGAGTCCAGACGCCTGCAACACCTGCCAAATGTGTGGTGGATTCCGTCTCCTGCCCTGCAGGATCTGCAATGGATCCAAGAAAAGCCTTCACAGGAACCATTTTACTGCAGAATTCGTGGCGCTGAAGTGTATGAATTGTGATGAAGTAGGCCTAGTCAGGTGTGAGGCCTGTTGCTAAACATATACAAATTCGAGCTTAGAAAAAATATGAGTTACAATTAAGGACAGAAATAGTTGGAAATATGAAATTTAGAATGAGATACTGTTTTATTTTCGAGATAAATTGATATCTACTGTAAATTTTTACTGTGAATTTGGTAATTGTAAAATGAATGGAAATATAATTTAGAATTGTGTAAGAGGATTATTTTATATTATTGAAATTTTTGTAAGAGAAAATAATCGATGGTTTCTCATGTTAGTTTAAACAAAGCAGAAGGGCTTCAAAACGTTAAGAAACTATTAGTGAAGTTGCTTTTAGAAGTAAATAATTAATCACAAAAGTCATTTTAGTTCGAAATTAACGAGATTTACATCAACGCCATCTAGCGGTGTCATGAAGATTACTTCTTATCATTCAATGAGATTTATTAAATTGCTTATTTTTACTTAAAATAAGGCATTGAGTATGTGAAAAAATCTACAAATGTAATTATTAAGCTATATTTTATTTAAATATGATATTTCTCCCCCAATATGGGCATTTTCTTTATAATTATTGTAATCTTAGTTTAGAAAATATTATTGCTACTCTTAAAGTTGGTTGGCGAACTTTAAATTCAATCTATTTTGTGTATATAGTGAAATAGGTCAACCTTCATAAGTAGAATAAATACATTTTACAAATATCTTCACGATTAATCCTACGAGAATTATGAAGGGCAAATACATTAAAACTTTTGTTGTATAAATTTAGAATTATATAAATAGTTTCTCACAATGTGAATATAACTCGAAATGAATTTTACATAAATTATAATTTACATTTTAATTGAATAATTTGAAGAATACATTTTATTTTACAGAAATAAAAGGAAATTCTTCACAGATTTAAATTAGTAAAATGAAATGTTTGCAAGTGGACCAATATTTTTACCATCAGTGGAATTTTGTTAATTAGTTAACTAATTGAATACTTTAACAAATTAAACAATTTGAAATTGTAATAACGTAACTTGGTGTCTTCACATCCTGAGTGAACAGGTTGCTCATAGGTAGGCGTGCTCTATCGTTGACCACATCATCGCTTACCATCAGGCGAGATGGTGTTCAAACGTCGACCTATCAAGTATAAAAAAGACACTTAAATATTAAATTAAGTGGGGTACAAAATAGTGTCCTATTTTGAAAACGTGAAGATAGTATAGAAATGTTCTTGAACAAAATGTTCAGGAAAAATAAGTTTAGGTAACAGATATTAATTAATATGCCATAATTTAGCTGCAATATTTTTATTCTTTTTATACAAATGTTTATAGGTTTTTTTTTTGTTAAGTTAGAATAAATTAACATGATGGAATGTTAAAAGGTCAATTTTTAACAAATTATGAAGCATGGAATATAAATGTATTTATTTTTTAATGTGGATAAAATTAGTTTTTAATTACATCATGGTGATTTATAATTCTCAATGTTATGGGAATAAAATTTGCATGTTTAATTTTGCTGTTTTTTTAACGTGTATTTAGCGTAAATAATTTTATAAATTCCTTAAATTATTTAATTGGCCTATATATTGGTAACTCCTCTTAAGTTTAACATAACATAACATAACATAACATAACCTCTTTATCCCCGAAAACCCAGGCAGAGGTGTACATTACGGCACTTAATGCCACTGTACAATGTAACTTTTCACTATTTATGATATGAGTCCCATGTAATAAGGGGTGAGCCTATTGCCATATACCGGACATAATTCCAAACTCCGTGCTAGTACTGAGATTTTTTTTAAAAACCTAGTAACACTTTGGCCGCCCCGGGAATTGAATCCGAGTTACAGTTGCCCGGCAGTCACACTTGCGACCACTCAGCCATCGAAACAGTCTCAAGTTTTAATCTTAAAATAAAATTGTAAATTGAAAACTTATTACCACACAGAGTTTTTTCGAGAAAATATCGATCTAGAAAGATGGGACGTTGTTTATTTCAAAGAAAATTCATGATTTCCACTAATAAATTATGTTATACTACGATTTTTCAAAAATTTTCCATAGAACGAGTACTAATGATACCTTTGATGAAATATTATATCACTAGGAATTATAAGTCTTGTTATTATCGTACTTTTCCATAGAAATTTTCCACGAAAACTCAGCTGAACTATTAGAATAATTATTGTTACGCTAAGCAAATTACTTTATATTTTAAAATATCAAACAATATAAACTTTCAATTCTATATTAAAACTTTATTTTTAAATATTATTTAAAGTCTGTTCGCATGGTAAATACAAATTAAGTTAGAAGGGAAACCTATTATTAGCCTTACTAAACTGTAATATCTTTATTTTGTATTATATCATATGTATCGCTGTTGGTTTTCTAAATAAATAAATATTTTTTAAGTAGCTATTATTGCGATTTTGCGAAATCTTTTGATTCATATCAGTAGATGATATTTTTTTTTAAAGAAACGTTGCCCCACACTGGTATTTTCTCCTGTGTCGTGGGTGCGTTTACTAACATACAAGTTCACATACACATAACACCCAGACCCGGAACAACAATCTGTGGATCACACAAAGAGTTGTTCCGTGCGGAAATCGGAACCGCGACACGTTGCGCGGCTGCCGGTTGCCCAGCCACCGTGCCAACCAATATATATGTACTTTAAAAATCAGCCGTTTAAATTTTTGTCTAATTAAACTTTGACAAACGAAAATAGTTTATGTTTAGTGGTACGGTAAAATAAAACACTGCTTATATTCGAGAAGTAACACATGAAGTTATATTTTTTATATAAATACATATAATTCTTATTTCTTGTTTACAATACAATATTTAGTCTTGCTATAAAAATAATTAATTATACCATAAAACGAAAACAATTCATACATTAATTTCTATTACAAATTTGTGAAAATATTATTATGTGATAACTTAAAAATCCCAATAACTGAGTTTATTTGAGTTCACTTGTCCCAGCAACACCACGATAAGAAGAATCGTTTTAATTCTAAAAATAGAAAAACTTTATCAAATACTTAACCAGACTGAAAATATATAATATTTACAGACTTCCATCGTGTCGAATTATTTTCTTGAATAGATGAAAGAATTTTCTAGAAGTAAAGCATGTTGGATATTTTGTCCAGACAATGCAAGAGTTTCATAAGCTGCTAATCCTTAATAAGGTTCTAAGTTCTTGAATATTAACTGTTTTCTTCTTCCTTAATCTTTGCAACATAACACAACATCGCGCATTTTATCTCATAAGGGGTAAGCAGACGTGCACAATACAGACTTAACGCCACTGTACAATGTAACACTCACTTTTCACTATTTGTGTTATGAATCCCATGTGGGTGAGCTTGTTGCCATATACCCGGCACAATTGCAGACTCCATGCTACTAATGAGATACTTTTAAACATAGTAATACTTTGGTTCACTCCAGAATCGAACCCGAAACCCCTTGCCCTAGCAGTCGCGCTTGTGGGAGATATTTTTAATTAACCCAGTAATACTTTGCCCGACACAGGAAGAACCCGAGACCCCTAGCCCGGCAATCGTACTTGCGACTATTTGGCCAACGAGACAGCTTGAAACATCGCATTCATTCTAGTGGTTCTATTATGTAGACTTACTTCACAATCAGTTGATGATAATCAAAACATTCTTTTACTATTTGGCAACTTCTACAAGTTACTCTACCTTCTAATAGACAGCTAGTCTTTAAACTTGGCCTGGTAAAATTGTTCAGAGTGTGCACTTTGAAATTACCCCAAATATTGAAAATTGTTAAGGATAGGAATGTCGTGGTGGCCCGGAGGTTTAAGACGCCCACTTCTCATGCATGAGGGTGCGGGTTCGAAACCTACCAACGGCTTGCCGTTGGTAGGTCACATTGGTACTTGTACCAATGTGACTTTTTCCGAGTTATATGTACTTTCTAAGATTATTTAGACACCACTGACAAACGGTGAAGGAAAAACATCGTGAGGAAACCTGGACTTATAATTTCTAATTATAAGTTTGAAATCGCCAACCCGCATTGAGCAAGCGTGGTGATTAATGCTCTAACCTTCTCCGTGTGAGAAGATGCTTTGCTCAGCAGTGGGCATTTATAGGCTGTTAATGATGATGATGATTAAGGATAGTAAAAAATCAAACATGCAGAACCAAGTAGAGCAGAGAGACGACAACGCTATGAAACAGAAAAAGGAAAAACATACAGTAACATCTTTCTTTTATGTCCCCTTAATGAGCCTTAAGAGTGTCCACAGGAGTTCTCCATTGCAACCTGTCTTGAGTTTCATGCTTCATCTCACACCACGCCATTTCGATGCCCGCTGCTTCTGCTGCACAGTGCGACGCTAGGTTTACTGAGAATGGTCAAGCTGTATGTATGACTAGAAGATATCGGATTTAAATTTCCCAAATTAAAAAAACGTCTGGTATATAACCTTAAATTACATGACAACTTATATTATAAGTGAAAAGAAAGGGTAAATGTCCACGTTGCCACATTGGACGAATGCACGAATCCTTCACAAAGTGAGCAGGTGGCCTACAAATGCTTGCCTACACATGCTTGCATCGAGCTTAGAAACATTGAAAAATTTACTTAAATTCTTATAGTAACTAGGTAATTTAATACTTTCATTCTATTGAACACAATTTAGTTTCCTTATGACATCCAGCATTTCTTTCTTTATTGAACCAAAGAGTTTCCTTTTTTTTTATATAGAAGCATTATTTTTATGGATGGTCAGTATGTGAGCACCGTGTTAGACTATAACATTTTTTTTTTGTTTTTTTTTTATTTAAGTAAGTTTTGTAATTTGTATAAGCGTGTCATTGCATTGTTCTCACATATACGTACAGTATAGGAATATGTGTCAAGAAATGTCTTTGATAAATATTCTAATACTGTAATACAATAGTAGAACATACTTTTTTTAAAGAGTAACGAATGGATTTTCTTGCTTGTTTTTCTCCATTCGAATCTACATTTTTGAATGAGCACCTAGCTTCACCTAGCTTTACTGACAGACTGACTGACAGACTATTATTTATTTTGTATTTTTTGACGTTTGAAAGGTACCAAATGGTTTAATTGAAATAAATGCTTTGACTTTGACTATAATTTGTTGAATAAAAACTAATATCAACAACCCTGGACATTCCAAGAACCTTGAACACAATGTTGTATCCCATTAGGGATACTATTAAGTATCCTTTAGAAGTTTGGCCTATAATGAAGTAGAAATTCAACAAAATGAAGAACTTTTGTATCTTGAACAATTTGGCTATCATTAATTTATCAATTGACTGATTTTCTACCAAAATTCCTGTTTTACTCACGGTGTGCTCTCGTGCTGATGTAGATTTAGAGGTATCTCACCAGAAAAAGAGAATAATTCTAAAGAGATGAGACTACACAACACCCTAAAGATAATTAAGAAATAATAAAAAAAAAATATTAAAAATTATTATTTCTAAGAAAAAGAATAACGTTTGAAATAAAATTCGTGAAGAGGTGATTTAAGAGTTTATTGGATCAATACGAACAAAATTGGTAAATATTTAATCATTAATTTATAATCACAGACGAAATAACAGTTAAAGAAATAATAGGGTAGACGACTAATTCTTATTTTAATGTCCGTCTGGTAGATTATTTTAAAACATTAGACACGTATTTTTTCTTTTCTCACAGAAACGAATAGTTTCGAAGATATATTGATTTGAAATGTCGCGTGACGTCACTTCTCAGTACATTTTATACTAAGAAATGACGTTTTAGCCCCCACTCCTAAACTTTGATTCGTTTTATCTAAGTATTGTTTTATTATACGACAAAATAAAAAAATACGTGTCTAATATTTTTTCATTACCTAACTTACGGACTAATTATATTTTTAATTTTCATACCCTGTCATCATCCCCATTGCATAACAAATTCAAATGCTACGTAAAAATGTGAAATACGACAATGAAGTTCTCAAAATCTGAAACAAAAATTGAAATTAGTTGATATGGAAAAATCGAAGACAGTTTAATGTTACAACAACACTTTAAACATAATTATTGTATCAAATCAACAGTCGTGGTGGCCCGCAGGCTTAAGACGCCCGCTTCTCATACATGAGGGTGCGGGCTCGAAACCTACCAACCGCAAGTACCAATGTGACTTTTTCTGAGTTATATGTACTTTCTAACATTATTTACACACCACTGTAAAGGAAAACATCGTGAGAAAGCTAAGCTTATAAATTCTAATTATAAGTTTGAAATTGAAACCTGCATTGAGCAAGCGTGGTGATTAATGCTCAAACCTTCTCCATGTGAGAAGAGGCCTTTGGTCAGCAATGGTCACTTATAGCCTGTTGATTGCTTGATTGTATCAATTCTTTACTATAACTTCACACACGAAAAACCTACCTTTTTTAATTTCTTTTCATCATATATTTTTTTTACACTGGCTAATATCACAAACAGACTACTTAAAGTATTATTAGAACTGCATATAGTAGAACTTACCGCAGCCATAGACATGACACCAACATTGGCAATACCCAGGGCTTTCACATGTATTGGCTCCCTAGCATTCATTAGGAAGAAAGAAACGAATTTTCTATTACTTGTGTCCATACATTCCCATGGTATACTATAAACGGCACTTAGTAGCTTTTCACTCTGAAATATAAAAAAATAAACGTTATATTTTAATGAGCCGTATGCATTCTCAATGTCAGTCAAAGCCTTCCGTTCAATTGTAATTTTCATTATCAAGGACATTAATGCCAAAATTGTGTACAACTTAAATGGGTGACTAAAAATGGTTGGATAAATAAAACAAGAGAGAGAGAGAGAGATCAATTTATATCGTACCGAAAATCTTCAAAATTTGTTTATTCAAAAGTAGTTTCTAAGCAACGGAAATAAGGTCTATGATGTAGTTAGTAGAGCGGTTGGCAAATATTTCTTAAAAAAGCAATTTACCTCACTTCCTACTAGTTCAAAAATGACTGATAATTGAATCAGTTGCTGAGTTGAAATTAAGGTTAGAGGCAAATAACGCATAAGAGCTGGTGCAGTCTGAAATAAAAACAAAAAACAATTTGCTTTCATCAATCCGAAATGTGCAAGTAATTTAAAAGACTCCAATGATATCAAATCTTGATTTGACTAAGTTTTATTACAGAAAGACAATCATAAATTGGTCTTTCGTAGATGGTCATTTCCAGTGTGATAGCTAAATTTAAACAAGAAATACTTATGAGTAGAGAATAATAAAAACAAACCATTTGAGAACACTCCAGCAATAGTAAACAGCCGCTAGCCTGGTGATATATGTAATAGCAGAACAAGGTAGGTCCAAATACGTTTGATACGTTGTTAGTAAACCTGAAATTAGTTCGCTGAGCTGTACCGTCTTTACCATACGGGCATGGACCCATGCCCAGGGCCCCCATCCCATCCCATTAGGGCCATCATCCATCCCCAAGGGGCCCCGAAGGACCGGTCATACACCCGCTACACGTTGCAGCAACTGGCTGTCGCGTAACGTGTAGCGGGATCCACCACCAATGATCACAAAAAGATTTGCTCCGTATTTTGTGATCATTGGTGTTTCGGGTCTGGGTGTCATGTGTATGTAAACTTGTATGTTTGTAAATGCACCCACGACACCGGAGGAAATCCTAGTGCGGGGCAACGTTAAAAAAAACATTTCAAAAAGCCTCAAATTATTCTGTGCCCAAGGGCCCCAGTGTAATCTGAAACGGCCCTGGATGATGAGGGTATAAAATATGCAAGAGAAGTGAATGCAGATACAATGAATATTGGTTGATCAGCTAGATACCAAAAAAGTTTTAATGCGCTCTGCTGGGATGGGTCGTTTTGCTAAATAAGCATACAAGTAAAATTACATGCAACAGAAATGAGTTCCTTAGAAGCACATGTGGTGTTACTGTGGCTTCTATGGTGAGGGTTAGTGATAAAAATAGATAGTTATAATATAAGACGTGACATAATGATAAGAAAAGACTCATATTTATTAACTACATCTACATTGTCGTGCATATTCATGCAAACCTTAAAATGATTTGAATCCTGAATAAAGAAATATTTTGTATATTTGTCAAACATTCTAATTTTTCTATCGTAATTACATAGATACTGTCTTACTTAACAATCATTCGGTGAGAATCAACACATTGCTTTAATTTTTTAAAAACTTCTATGCATTCTTCTTCGGAATATTTTGCACTTGTTACTGTCAAGCCTCCTTCTATTAAACAACTGGTATCCGAACGTGGTTTGGGAAAATTGTTAAGAGTGTGAATAAGCATTTTAAAATGACCCCAAATATTGAAAACCATTAAGGATAGAAAGAGATCAAACATGCAGAACCAGGTTGCACAAAGATAGGATAGTATCCTGAAACAGAAAACATAAGTAACGTCAGTAACGTATTGACAATGATATTGTAACAGTGAATTATCTGTGATATACTTCGTTAACCATGTTTGCACTTAGAAAGTGACTAAGACCTAGGAGTATGTTTCGGCATTTCTTCTCGGAATAGTCAGTAGGAAATACCGGCCCCGTCAGTGGCTTAATTGAAGTAAAAGTGCAATGTACAGAAATACACAATGACTTCTTATCGAAGACCTCATTATTTTACTACTACTTACGTCATAACGCCCACATGGTATTCCTGATATCAATAGTGAGATTCTCCTTTCACCGACATCGACAAATTATTATAGACTTACCAATTAATGATATTTGACAAAACGTATCCCCTCATATCAGTGAGGGTATCAAATGGATACTTGAAATACAGAGAATGTTCAAAAGTAGAGTTTTGTGTTCCTCCACTTTTGTATCTTCCAGCCACGTAGTTGTTGTACATTGGAATGAGATTAAAACAAGATAAACCAAATATCATTTGCGATAGTAGACACAGCGTAAACAGATGAGACATCAGGTGGACCCGTTTATAAGTCTGGAATGAAAACAGAAAAATTGCAAAGTCCTTCCTAGTTTTACTTAAGCACTCTGAAAGTTTGTTCATTACCTTCATAGCATATTCAGAACTATCTTTGAAGTAGAACAGATGAATTTTAGTAAGAAATTCTTTGCTCACTTTCCGATATTCCTTGGAAAATGTGAGCATCACGATCCTGGACTGAAATGAAAATTTAATTCGAAATACAAAAGTTTATTAATACATCAAAATAATTCACATAAAACAATGTTGTTGGTAGTGGTCGGATGCGAAGGGCTGAAGAGCGAGCTCGGTAGAGAGTGCTATATACACTATATATGTTTTTTTTTTTGTCCTTTTTTGACACTAAATAAACAGTGTACAATATATATTTATTTATTTATTTAAAACTTTACCTAAAACTATCATTACAGTTTTCTCCATTGCGATAGTATAGGCATAATAAAGAAATGTAAGAGAGAATAAGGGGCCTATGTCTAGCTGTGGACGAAAACGCGCTGCTGATGATGATAATGACGACAAAACCTTGCCAAAAGTATACTCACAATGTCAATGAAAGTCATCAAAATCATCAAATAAGTGTGGCCAGCTTCTAAAAAAGTGAGTTCACTGTTATATGCTCTGAGGTAAACAGTCGAACCAAGTTGACAGCCAATAGTAGCCAATAAGTAAAAGTACAGAAACGTGTTCAAGGCCACGGGCTCCTTCTCTCCTAGTTCTTTCTGTGGCCAGGAGCCGATGATGCGCAGATTAAAGCGCAAGATCTTGATGTAAAGATGATCGGTGGGAGAATTGATGCCACTGTGAAAAAATATTGGGTCACATAAAATGCAAGAGCAACTAGGATTTTTATCAATTCTTCTCTAGGTTCTTATTTTACTGCCTCGTTGGCCGAGTGGTCGCAATTGCGACTGCCGGGTAAGGGGTCTCGGGTTCGATTCCCGGGTCAGTAGTCTGGAATTGTACGGAGTCTGGAACTGTGCCCGGTATATAGCAATAGGCTCACCCCCTATTACATGGGACTCATAACATAAATAGTGAAAATTCGTTCGTGTGCACCTCTGCCTACTTCTTCGAGGATAAAAGGCGTGATATTATGTTATGCTATGTTCTTATTTTATTACATTGACATACATCGTCCCAGTTCTTGTAAGATATTGTATGCTTATGATGATGAAATGAATATTAGGGTTATCAGTAACATAGAATTAAATTACTTACTGTACTGATTCGTTTTCAAAAAGAAAGTTTTTCAAACCCATCTTTGAAAGAAAATGTAAAGTATTAAATACTGCGATATATTGGTCTTTTATTAAGACTCACTGGAGAATGAAGTGAATTTTGTTGCAGGTACAAATCTTAGTCATTAAACTTATGTTAAAATAGTTTCTATGAAACGTGCTGACGTACTCAGAAGTCTACTAAGTGGCTATTGCGATAAAAATACTTTACACGTGCAAAAATAGTAGCAAAAAATTACCCTAAAATGTGGGACATATTTTGTGATCAGATTCTTTGACGGTCTACTATTTTTCATTGTGTCAGATTCATTCATTCTCTTCTGTGACCCATCGTCTGAAGAATCTCCCTGATTCAACTGAAGAAACGCTTTTGTTCAAAAAGTTTTTTTTTAATGGTTTTTTTAAACGTTGCCTAGTGTTTTTCCTTTGTCGTGGATGCGTTTACAAACATACAAGTTCACACACACATGACACCCAGACTCGATACAAAAAATCTATAGATCACACAAACAGTTGTTGTATTGATCACACATTCATGCGGGAATCGAACCTGCAACACGTTGCGTGGCATCCAGTTGCCCATCCACTGCGCCAACCGTGTACTTAAAATCTCCTGCCAGACTAGTAATTGAAAGACAAGCAGCAGTGTTCTCTAAATCATATTTTTCATACGTGAAAGCCATGCTTGTATATGTAGTCGCGGAGAACCTAACGGGTAACCGGGGCTCCGGCTCGACGTGCAGGAGAAGGAACGGGGTGGTTTTTAGTCAGTAAGAGTCTTACACTCCCTCCCGCCTCACCCAGGCGGGAGCAGTCATAAGATTAGTTTTCCCCCGTTAAAAAAAAGTGTTATCTAAATCATGTTTTTCATACGTGAAAGCATGCATGTATATGTAAAACATGCAGCGGTTTGCTTAACTGCAATAACATCACAACGTCACAAAAAATACACTCTTGCATTGTGTTTAGGTGTGTGTGTGAGGTTACCAGAGGGCATTGATGCGGGTTTTCAGACAGGAGCATTAGCTTGCCATCACCTATCTCCATTTGCTTACATAATCTAACACCATTTATCTACTTTAAATCTTGGCTTACAGGAGTTGTAACGGTTTTGGGAGGTAGTGGCGGGCTTGTCCCACGTAAAAAAATTACCGTTTATTAGTATAAAAGTAAACAACTCAGATAGTTTAATTTTTTAAATAAAAAAATGCTATTTTAGTTTTTAATCAAATAGTAGAGCAACCATAGCTGTAAACACTACACTAGATGATAGAAGAAAAAGGAAAAATATGGATAAAATTATTTCTTACCCCTGGCAACACGGTAACATTTAACCGTAATTGTGTCAAATTACTGTCATATTGTTATTATGTAATTTTGTCATTAAAAAGTTAATATGTCATTAAAAAGAAGGCGAAACAAAAAAATCAAGGTGAAATTCATTATTGATCTATGAATCAAAGTGATTTCAATGCTAGATTGTTGTGGTTGTAGTTAGATTTATTAGAAAGACTACATTCGACTTTCAACCTTCTTGCGAATATTTTATAAGGAAGAAAATCTCATATAATCAATTATATACTGGACGCTTTTCTCTACAAGTGTGTTTTTTTAGTATCTTTCATTTACCTCCACGTGCAATTGAACACCCTGTTTTTATCTTAACTGGGACCTTTTTTTGTTTTTAGGAGGAATTATTATACGTCTTTCAAGTGTAGGAGAGCCATGCTTCGGCACGCATGGACCGGCTCGACTGGAATGATACCACGGCCTCACTGAAAACTGGCGTGAAACAACGCTTGCGTTTTCGTCGTGTGAGTGAGGTTACCAGAAGCACAAACACCCCCCCCCCCCCAATCAAACACCAAAAATCCTCAAATTCCTAATCCCAAAAGGCCAGTAACGCACTTGCAACGCCTCTGGTGTTCCGGGTGACGCCGATTGCTTACCATCAGGTGATCCGTCTGCTAGTTTATCGACTTATGCCATTAAAAAAAACGTCGAAAATAAAATTAATGACTAAGTGACGTCAGAATTTATTGAGACTATAGAAAAACAATTGGTGATAAATTATTTCATAGGAAACACATTAATTATTACTAAAATTTTTAGATCTAATTGTTAATATAGACATAGTGTGATAATTAATTTGTAAGAAAACTTGTCAAAAATCGTGAGAAATGATTTGTAGAGATAGTTGACATTAATAAATTAAAAATTCATAAATTCAAATGCTGCGTAGGAAGGTGAAATAGGACAACGATGTTCTCAAAATCTGAAAAAAAAAACACCTACGTTAGTTTTCGAAGAAAATGTGAGCTGAATCGTAAATGTATCACAAGTATGTACACACGGCTACACATCAAGCTTTACATAACCAGTATAAACTGAACGTTAAATGTTCGGAATGATGATGAGACGCGACACCAGGATAAACTGGTTTTGTATAGATTGATGTGTGGCCGTGTGTACTGTATTTTGATCCACCTACAGTATTATTTTACAGTGGGCAAAAATAATGTTACTTTTTGTGGTCAGCTTGATATTTTGACCATATTCATTGTGGTTGATGATGACATGAAGATGCTCTAATTTTGTTAATTTTCCTTTCTGTGTCTTAGGAATTAGGAATAAAGAATGTCGTGGTGGCCCGGAGGTTTAAGACGCCCGCTTTTCATGCATGAAGGTTCGAGACCTACCAACGGCAAGTACCAATGTGACTTTTTCCGAGTTATATGTACTTTCTGAGATTATCTAGACACCATTGACAAACAAACCAAAAACAAACCTGTAAAAAATCGTGAGGAAACCTGGGCTTATAATTTCTAATTAAAGGTTTGTAATCGTCAACCCGCATTGAGCAAGCGTAGTGATTAATGCTCAAACCTTCTCCGTGTGAGAAGAGTCTTTGCTGAGCAGTGGGCATTTGGATGATGATGATGATGAGGGATTAGGATAAGTAAAGATACACATTTAATAAGCACGGTTCCGGCACGGCTCCATTCCAGGGTTTTTTGTTTTGGAAACATACAAAAAGGTTATAAGTGCGCTGACGGCGTGCGGACGGTGATCTTACAGCCGTAACGCATTTCTGTTATGAAATATATCATACGACATATGACTTAAATTTCATATTTCCGTGTCGTGTCGTGCCGGTTAAGTGTGTTATGACCATAAAACTTCAGTTAGAGTAGAACTCACCGAAGCCATAGTCGTGACACCGACATTGGCAATGCCTAGAGGTTTCACAGCTATTGGCTCTTTTACATTCATTAAGAAGAATATCACAAATTTTTTATTACTTATGCTCATACATTCCCATGGTACACTGTAAACGGCGCTTGGTAACTTTTCGCTCTGAAACATATTTAACCTGGCGTCATTGAGGTTGGGTCAAAAATACTCGTTTGTGTGGAATCACAAATATTTCACAAAACGTGTGTGTGTTTTTTTGATGAAATTGGTGAACAACGACAGAACTGGAAGCTCGTTTGGAAGCAAATTACAACCTGAATCCATCCGAATTATGTGGCAGAACAATGTACATACAAGCATTAGTCACTTACTTTATTCTTTGATTTAAAAAAAAATAACGATGTAAACATTTCTTATCAGTACGAAAGTGGTTATACCTGAGTTCCAATTAGTTCAAAAATTACTGATAACTGAATCAGTTGCTGAGTGCACACTATCGTCAGGGGTAAATAACGCATTAGGACTGGTGCAGTCTGAAAACAAAAATAGTACAAAATATTAATTCAACTGAAAATTCATTACATCAGGATCAAAACCAAAAGAAAAACCAACCATTTGTGAGCACTCCAGTAACAATAAACAGCCGCTTGTTTGATGGTATAAATAATAGATAATCAACATTGGACCAAATACATCAGAAACTTTGCTATTGAACCTATAATCAGAATATTTTGAATTAGTATTTTTGATTAATGAATTCATGAGAGAGAATTAGGGTACAAGTTGGAAGTGGGCGACATGAGGCAGCAGCGGACGACGTGTCGCAGCGACATGGTTTCTATGTATTTCTATAATATTAACTCCGTAGTTAGCGACACTTGCTTACTTGCACTTAAGCTTTTTTTTGAGGGGGAAATCATCCTATTACTTGTCCCGCCCTGGTGCAGCAAGAGGGAGGGTCAGTCTCTTACTGACTAAAAACCACCCCGTGCCTACTTCTGCAATTCCAGCCGAAGCCCCGGCAACCCGTTAAGTCTTCCGCGGCTCCGTATCGGCATCAGCCCTATTGGGCCCCATCTGTGGTGGTCTGATGGCTCCTTGAGGTTAGCTCGGGCCTGGTTCTGGTTGGGCGGTAAGTCACCCGTGCTCGCCGTCCGCAGGCCCATGCTTTCGGTGGCCGGAGATCGTCTCGCTATCCCCGACACCCGGAATGTCTTTTGTGACGGCTGGGCCGTGAGGAGGTTCGTTCTCTCACGCGTCTCGCCTCCTCCTTAGCTAGCATGACTGCTTCGCATAAAAAGGAGATGGCATCCCAGTCCCCGTCGCTCCGTACTATTGTCTGAACCAGAGCCGGACGCAAGAGGTCGCCATCGCCGAAGATTGGTTGCGTAGATAAAGCACAAAGAGGTAACAAACAAAATAACTTTATATTTATATTATCTAATAGAACCTCGTTAGGACCATTTTCTTTTAAAATAATTTTGCAAGACCTAGCACTTAACTGACCCCTAACTTGAACTATTAGGTTAGGTTAGGAACTATTAGTTTTTTGAAAACCAAAATGTCGATAAGTTTTACCTTGGGGTTCTTTAAAATTTAGGACAGGTTGGTGAAAGGAGCAAAATATTTATTTTCAGTTGTAATTTGTGAACAACAATATTTACTTACTCAACAATTCTTCGGTGATAATCAACACATTCTTTTAACTTCCTAAAAATGTGTACGTTCTCTTCATCAGAATATATAGCACTTGTTACTGTTAATCCTCCATCTATTGTGATAGTAGTCTCTACACTTGGTCTAGGAAAATTATTCAGGGTGTATGTAAGCATTCTCAAATGTCCCCAAATATTGAACACCATCAGTAATAGAATGAGGTCACACATGCAAAACCAGATTACGCAGAGAGAAGATAATATCCTGTAATCAAAAACAAATACTAATGCATACCAATCAAAATAAAATACCCATAGCTAAACAATAACAAACAACCTACGTTTAAAATTCCAAAACACAAATTACACTAATAAATAAATTTGCGAGATATTTTTTGTAAAAAAAAATGTTATTTATGAATTAGTAAGAGTAACATAAATCTAGTCTCGCTTTTTAAGAATTACATTATTGGCTATGTAGTTCCGAACTTACCAATTAATAATATTAGCTACGATGTATCCCTTTATTTCAGTTAGCGTATCAAATGGATACTGGTAATACATAGAATGTTCAAAAGTTGAGTTTTGTGTGCCACCAGGTTTATATCTTCCAGCAGCATAATTATAGTACATTGGTACAAGGTTAAAAAGAGGCACCCCAAACAGCATTTGAAATAATAACCACAAAGTAAATAAATGAGATATCAAGTGCACCCGTTTGTGAGTCTAAAATAAAATAAAAACATGTTTCCCTTAACAAATCATCGATAGCCACCTAAAAATGATAAAGGTGTTCCTCTAGCAAGTATTTTGGGACCAATATTTTTTAATCGACACTCCACACTAATATTTTCTTCTCAAATTCAAATATAATGTAAATAATATAACTCAGACCAAAAACAAAAAGATAACACACTTTTGAATATTGAGTTTATAGTTGTTAAAAAAAGTTAATACAATAAGTGTATGAATATGTTTATAGTTAATTCAATACTGCCTGCTGACAGCCTCGATGGCCGAGTGGTCGCAAGTGCGACTGCCGGCAAGGGGTCTCGGGTTTCGATTCCCGGGTCGGGCAAAGTATTACTAAAATCTCAGTATTACTAGAGTCTGGAAATGTGCCCGGTATATGGCAATGGGCTCACCACCTATTACATGGGACTCATAACATAAATAGTGAAAAGTGGGTGTCACTTCTGTGTGCACCTCTGCCTACCCCTTCGGGGATAAAAGGCGTGATGGTATGTTATGTTAATACAATACCTCCATCGCATGTTCAGATATATCTTTGAAGTAAAAGAGATGCATTTTCGTAAAGAATTCTTTGCAAAGTTTTCTGTATTCCGTAGAAAATGTGAGCGATGTAATTCTTGACTGTAAAGAGACAAAATCACATGTATGAATTTAATGGAGCAGACATAATATAATTTGTTTCAGTATAAAATAAACATTTAAAACAGGGTAATAAATCTATTGATCCAACAGATAATTGTTCTTAAAAGCAATCCCATGAAAGAAAGGAAAAACCAAAGATTCTACTCACTATATCGATGAATGTCATCATAATCATAATATAATTATGACCAGCTTCCATCATGGTAAGTTCATCACTATACGTTCTGAGGTAACAATATGAACCGATTTGGCAGCCAATGGTGGCCACTAAATAAAAATACTTAGAAAAACATTCAAGTAACAGGTTCCTTCTCTCCGAGTTCTGTCTGAGGCCAGGTGGCGATGATACGTAAAGTCATGCGCAAGAGTTTAACGTAGAGGTAATCAGTTGGTGAGTGATGCCCCTGAAAAAAACATTACGAACGAGCTTTGATAAACACCGGTGAAGGAACCTCAATTCGCGAGTATATGTATACTCTTAAAGTGAAGAGATTAATGAATGCACATGACTAGAGAGAGAGGTATGCTAGAATTTATCAAAATCGAAATCTTCACATTTAATGAGATTATAATCAGAAATGTGAAGATTATAGTTCGGTTTAAATTGACATTTAGAGAACAAGAGAGCTCAGCTTAGAGTTCAGTTTTATGGCTGACATGAAGAGGATGCTGAAGTTCACGTCCATAAATTACTTACTGCACAGATTCGTCTTCAAAAAGAAACTTTTTTAAACCCATCTTTTTTTTTAAAAAACATTAATTTACATATCAAGTTCTATCAGCATATTTTCTGAAGGGTGTCCTATCGTTAACCAATCCAAGAATTATCTCTTTTAGATGTCATTTTTTCGTTTTATATATGGGTAAAGCTGCCAGTCAGCCATATGGCCCAAGGAATATATACAGGGGTGAAATATAATAAATACGTTTTTATAATAACTATGATAAGACATACTAAAGTACTTAAAACCGCGGGTTACTCACGTGAATATACTGAGAAAAGCTCTACAGCTGCCGCTACCGCGCACACTGCTCATGAGGAAGAACCCCTCTGTGGTTCGAAACTAGTAGAGCATTTTTCTAAGCCTAAAAGTGGCCACGCTGAGGCTGACCCAAGGCCTCTTCTCGAACGTAGACGGTTTGAGTATTAATCACCACGTTTGCTCAATGCGGGTTTCGTATAATTAGAAATTATAAGCCCAAATTTTCTCAAGGTGTTTCCCTTCATCGTTTATCTTATAATCAATCTTTCTTAAATAATATTTTTTAAATAATCTTAAAAAGTACATATAACTCTGAAAAACTCGCATTGCAACTTGCCGTTGGTAGGTTTCGGGACCGCACCCTCATGCATGAGAAGCGGGCGTCCTAAACCTCCAGTTAGAGTGAGCAGGAGATCTTGGACTATAACTTAAAAATGGCTATCAGGACTAGGGACATGGCGGTAGTGGGCGAAATGGTGGATCGGACCGATTGCTGGCCCTCACGTCATGCTCGTGAACGGGCGCCTTCTGCTGGAGCAGGTCGGCTCGCTCATCGCGCAGGTGAGCCGATCCAGTAGGGTTAATGTAAATGTAATAAAACATGTATTGTGTATAATTATATAAATAGTAAACACAACCTTCTTTGTAAAAAAAATGTGGTTAATGTAGCACGTAAGATTATGTAACAATTAATTTTGACTGTAAAATAAAAGAAAATGTAATTGAATGACAACGGCACGGACAAGAGTCTGAGGAGAAAAAGAAATCTAATATATATATATACGTATATAGGAATTTCCCCGCCTGCATTAGGATCGGCCATTGCGTGAGTATTCGGGCATATAATAAGATAAAACACCGAGTCATAATCATCACTAATCCAACTCTAACTTTATGAAAAATTATAAAATTGCGCGGAACTTTGACGGTTCGTCGGAGATGTCTCGCGCACGCCATTCATAACCGTAGTCTGGTTCAAAAATATGGCGGCGCTGTTCTCGACATGACGCTCCGTCAGAATGACTTCTGTGGCTAGATATCATCCTAGTTCCAAAACAAATAATAGACGCCGCTGTGGCTACCCCGTCATATATATAAAAAAATCTCCGGATCACCATGACAAAAGGCTACCAACATTCTTGTAAGTCTTTTCTTGTTAAGGTTGTCCCTGGGTGACCCTAATTGCGTATCACCTGATGCAGTGATGCATCTGATTGTTTGTCCAAATCTCATAAAAATACGAAGAATACTTGTTCCACCCTGTATAAGTACAACATACCATAACGTATACTTTTCACATCCATCACTTGATCCTATTAATTATTACTTCAAAGTAAATATTAAATTAATAATAATAGAGAGTTATATATATTTGAGACAACGTTCAATTATTACGTCCTGTGCGCTCTTTTATTATATGAATATCATTTACTTAACATTTTTAAAATTTTTATGGAACATAATTTCTGTCAAGATAATCATATATTTTTAAACATACTGTAGAGACATGAATGACTCTTTTTGATTCTACAGACGAATTGAAAAGATATTATTGGAAAGGATCAGGGAAAACATATTTGCGACTTCCACAAGAAAAGGTTGCTGCATATAAAAATGACAACTTATAAATAATAAAATAAATATAACCACGCCTTTTATTCCGCAGAGGTAGGCAGATGTGTAGATTCACTTAATGCCACTTTACAATGTAACACCCACTCTTCTCAGTCTTAACTATGTATGTTATAAGTCGTAACTACAGAATTATAAATCAACTGTACCTAGTTACTGTCATGTAAAAAGAGTCGCGAAACCAAAAAGCCTAAGTCTTGTGGGCTTAAAATTCATTCCGTCTCGCAAAAATCTTAATTGAGGCAATTGTACGGCATTCAGTATTTAAAAACAATTAATCATGACAACTATGTATCACAAAAAAAAAGTATGTCAAAAGTGTGATTTGACTGACAAAATTTCATCATCTCATGAATCATGAAGCTGATCATTGTAAAATAATAACATTTTCTTCAATCTGTTTTTGTCGAAACTGTCAACAATTTGCATTTTATTTTAAGCAATTTAAAACAATGTCAGTTTTCTAGGTAAGTTTACTACGTTTAGATTAAAAAAAAACTAATAAAACAAATAATTGGTTTTAATTTTATTTAAGTTTTTATTTGAATAAATGAGTAGACATATGAACAACTATATAGTTATTTTTCTCTCGTCTTATGTAACAATAAATAAAAGAAATGGTTTCTTTGTTTTCCATTAATTTAATCAAAATGAGAATAAATTGAACTAATAAATAGTAAAAAGCAATCACAGGAAATGTTAGCAAATAAATACATAACAGCGACGTTCACTTTAAAAGTATTTAAATATTCACATGCTTCGTAAGAAGGTGAAGTAGGACATTGAAGTCTTCAGGATCTGAAATACAGGGAGAAAAATACAACTCATATTTTCACTATTTACTTAACCCATCGTGTTCGCCGGAATGCAAGCTACGCCTTTTATCCCCGAAGGGGTAAGCAGAGGTGCACATTATGCCACTGTACAATGTAATACCCACTTTTCACTATTTATATCATGAGTCTCATGTAATAGGGGGTGAGCCTATTGCCATATAACGGGCACAATTCCAGTCTTCGTGCTACTACTGAGATTTTTTTTAAAAACCCAGTGATACTTTGACCGACCCAGGAATCGAACCCGAGACCCCTTGCCTGGCAGTCCCACTTGCGACCACTCGGCCAACGAGGCAGTCAATGACAATGTATTATAGTGTCTTTTATACCGGCAGTCATGAGGTTGATCGTTTCTATATGTGGTATATAACTCATTTCTATCCAACCATCTCTTACCTACACTAACACTAATAGTTGCCGTAATTGTTTATCTACAGGTAGATGTACATTTCTACCAAAGTTTTTACTTCAGTTCATAAGTTTTTTTGTTATACATTCAGTCAAAAAAGTATCGGGAATGGATGATTTGTTCATGGTTCCAAATTAAAATTTTTGTTTTTTTGTAGTTGTTAGATGGCACAACTGTTTTCCATTTTGGCGCGGAGTTTGAGTTGTATCTGTTGTTTATATTAAATACAGTGCTGGTTTTAGTAATCCTTACTTCCTTACTTATATTATAAATGGGAAAGTGAGTTTGTTTGTTTGTTTGTTTGTTCCACCTTCACGCCGTAACTACTAGACCGGTTGCTTTCAAATCTTGCAGACGTAAAGTTAGAAGTCTGGATTAAATAATAGGGTACTTTTTATCCCGGAAAAAATGATATTTCCTAGGAAAAACAAAAATATTGGTATAGATGGCGCTGTTTGTAGTGGTATAGATGGCGTTGTATGTCATTTAAAACCAGTCAACGAATTACCTACTTATTGGAAAAATGTAAATAGCGCGATATAACCGAATTCCACGCGAGCGGAAAGCTATTTGTTTGTTTGCCTGTCTTAAACGGCAGAACGGAGGTACTAATTAACGTGATTTTTTAACTGAAAGTAGTTGAACGGATGGATTGTCACATATGCTACTTTTTATCCTTTTGTGACGCGAGCGAAGCCGCGGGTAAAAGCTATCCTTACTTATATTATAAATGGGAAAGTGAGTTTGTTTGTTTGTTTGTTTGTTCCACCTTCACGCCGTAACTACTAGACCGATTGCTTTCAAATCTTGCAGACGTAAAGTTAGAAGTCTGGATTAAATAATAGGGTACTTTTTATCCCGGAAAAAATGATATTTCCTAGGAAAAACAAAAATATTGGTATAGATGGCGCTGTTTGTAGTGGTATAGATGGCGTTGTATGTCATTTAAAACCAGTCAACGAATTACCTACTTATTGGAAAAATGTAAATAGCGCGATATAACCGAATTCCACGCGAGCGGAAAGCTATTTGTTTGTTTGCCTGTCTTAAACGGCAGAACGGAGGTACTAATTAACGTGATTTTTTAACTGAAAGTAGTTGAACGGATGGATTGTCACATATGCTACTTTTTATCCTTTTGTGACGCGAGCGAAGCCGCGGGTAAAAGCTAGTATCATATATAGTAGTGTATAGTAACTTGTTGTTGCCTGCAAGTTAGTTTCGTTCGCGTAGAATATTAATTTTAGGACACAACTTAATTTTTGTTTCAATTTCCTAAAATAAAATTAGCCTCTTTTACTCTTTAGTATATCAGCTACCTACCAATAAAAACCCCGTCTAAATCGCTCAAGCCGTTTCAGAGATTAGCCAGTACAAACAAACAGACCAAAACTTTAAAGTCTTATTTTGTTATATGTATCGTATGTCTATTCATATGCAAGTAGTAAAACGTGGTTATTTTAATATTACAAACAGACACATCAATTTTATTTATCTGTATACATAATATAGACTTGTCCAAGAATCTTTGTACCCTCATCAAGTAAGAAGAAGATAGAAATCTTCAAACTCACCGCAGCCATAGAAGTGACTCCAACATTAGCAACACCCAGAGCCTTAATATGAACAGGCTCCTGAACATTCATAAGAAAGAATGCAACCACCTTCCTATTACTAACATCCATGCATTCCCATGGTACACCATACACGGCGTCTTTTAATTTCTCACTCTGTAATTTCAATATTATTATAAATGTCAAAGTTTATTTGTTTGTAGTTTAAGACAAGGATATTCATGAAAGGAACAATCCGAGAAGTGGCATTAAGGTTGATTTTTTCGGAGAAGCAAGCGAGCACAATGAAGTAGAGAGAATTTGAGAAGCTCTTCCATTTATGTATAAAAATAAAAGTATTGAGACTCTTTACAAAGGAGACATTGCTAAGTCTAGCTTAGATCAACAACGGACTAAACAGTTATATCAACGGGAAATGAAATGGAAAGTGCGACAAAAGGCAACCATTTTCATAAATTCATCTCAATGTGTGTCGTGGTGCCACTAAATAATCTAGTGTTGCCCTCAGTTAAGTCGTAAATCTCTTTTCTCATATGCATAAAAAGACAATCGTACCTCACTGCCGACCAGTTCAAAAATGACTGACAATTGAATTAATTGCTGAGTTAGTATTATCGTCAGTGGTACGTAACGGATTAGAGCTTGTGCTGTCTGCAACAGAAAAGGAAATAATGTTTATTTTATATTGTGTATTAAGTGTGGGAGAGCCATGCTTCGGCACGAATGGGCCGGCTCGACCGAAGCAACGCTTGCGTCGTGTTTCGTCGTGTAAGTGAGGTTACCGGAGGCCCAATTACCCTCCCCTTCCCCAATCTCCCTAATCCCAGAATCCGGGTGTTCCAGGTGTCCATGGGCGACACCGATTGCTTACCATCAGGTGATCCGTCTGCTCGTTTACCGGCTTATGCCATAAAAAATAAATAATAATTTAGCTTTGATTATGTAATGATTGTATACTAGTATTAATTTAATTTACCATTTGCGAACACTCCAACAATAGTAAACAACCGCTTGTCTGGTGGAATACATAATAGCAGAACAACATCGGCCCGAATACATCTGACATGGCGTTTGTAAATCTGTAAACAGAATATCATGTTGTTTTCGTGATTTATGACAAGTTTAAATAATATAGTTTCACTTCTAGATGAACATAGCCATACTCTAAATAACTGAAATTCAATGAAGTCGAGTAGGTAGTGTCAAGTTAAAAAGTACATACATAGCAAAGAACCAGAAATCGATATAGTAATTGAGCCTAAGAAAGCTAATTTTTACCCAACTGTCAGTACAAAGAGTATTGTTGTTCGTGCGTATGTTGTTGGGATATCTAAATTAAAAAAATACATTACATACAAAACTGTGTAAGTCATCTGGGTAGATGACTTCGACATCACCTAATTGCAAAATGACCTGAATGAATGACAATAAATTTGTATTCGTTAACTCTCTTTTTTCTTTTCGAAGCAAGTGTCCCATTCAAATGTTAACAATCACAACAATTATCTTGATCCCAGACGCTCTCATCAAATAAAAAACTGAAAGTTGTTTAGACTTACTGAATTATCTCTCGGTGATAATCAATACATTCTTTCAGTTTCTGAGAAACTTTAACGAGTTCTTCTTTTGAATATTTTTCAGCGTTTATATTAATGCCTCGTTCTAATTCACAGTGAGTTTCAGCGCTAGGCTTAGGGAAGTTATTCAGGCTGTTGATTAGTATTTTGAAATGGCCCCAAAGATGAAAAACCATTATTGATAGGAAGAGGTCAAACATACAGAACCATGTTGAGCATAAGTATGACAATAACCTGCAAACAAATAAATAAATTTATCTATACATCTATACTGATATATAATCGGAGTGTCTGTTGGTAATATTAAAATAACCGCTTTTTACTTCATGTATATGATGAATATACATACGATATATCTAAGGGAATGTCAGATTCTTACTGACTAAAAACCACCCCGTTCCTACTCCTGCCCTACGAGCCGGAGCCTCGGCAATCCGTTAAGTCCTCCGCGGCTCCGTATCGGTATCAGCCATATTGGGCCCCATCCGTGGTGGTCTGATGGCTCTTTAAGGCGCGCGCGGAACCCGACGCGCCGTACGCTCGGGTAAAACATCACGCTATGGTCGGGTGAAACTACGCGGTAGTACTACCGCGTAGTTTATCATTATAAAAACAGTCGAACTTACCAATGCAAAATACAAGCAACGACATATCCATTAAAATCAGTAGAAGTGTTAAAAGGGTAGGGAAAATACAGAGAGTGTTCGAACGTTGAGTTCTGGGTGCCACCACTAGCGTACCTTCCTGAGGAGTAGTTCGTGTACATGGGTATGAGATTGAATAAAGAAAGACCAGTTAACATCTGGGAGAGTAAGCAGAGAGAGAACAGATGACAGATTAGGTGGACTTTCTTGTGAGTCTGAAACAACAGGAAATATAAGACATCAAGGGCCGTTTTCTTCAACAAAACCATCTCTTAATTAAGAGTCACGCAGTGCAAGAGAGTACTTAAACTCACCTGTTATCTGAATTCCATTATATCCTAGTATCACTTATCTATTGGTCATGACGAAGCTGTCACTTAATGTCACCTATCTTAGCGTAGGGGTGCACCTATCTTAGCGTAGGGGTCCAATATAATATATATATATATACAAAAAGGGGTATCAGATTCTTAAACTTTTTTCAGATGCAGTTGACTATCGAAAATTTGGACAAATACGTAGACGATGTTTTCAAACCCATAAAAACGTTTGGTTTTTATGGCTTTGAAAACATCGTTTATTTCTCGTTTATTTCTAAAAAAGCTTAACAATACAATACATAATATATTTGTTTAGAATAAAATTTCTATAGTGATCGCGTACCACCAGCCAAGATAGTGGTCAGACGTCGGCCCATCAAATATATATATATAAAAAAATTGTGAAATGAATAATCAACCAATTTAATTTTACAAATCCTTCGTACCAAATACTTCCCGAACTTACCACCATCGCATATGGAGAATGATCTTTGAAGTAGAACAGATGTATCTTGGTAAGGAATTCTTTAGCCAAATCTCGGTACCTTTGTGATAATGTTAGAGTAAATACTCTGGACTGTAAACGATAATAAAATAAACGTTACTCCCTGAACGAATCCGATTTTAAGTTTCCTATAACGAAGGGATAAAGTCATCAAAAAGTCTGGGACAATATGAAAAATGACAAAAATCTAAATATATCCGTCTTACCTGGTGCCATTTTCACTAACCACCCAAACATATCTTAACTATGAGTTCTAAACTAATTCCCTTATATTGTTAGGTGTTACTCATAGGTTCGTGAAAACCAAACTGTTGTCAAGTGTCGCATATCTGAGATTAGATGGATTGATTGGAATTCCTTAGAAGAAAGGTTGATGAAATCTGTTATGAGGGTCTCATCTACAAGTAACTAATGAAGACTTTTTACAACATTACTTACCATATCAATAACACTCATTAGAATCACGATATACATGTGTCCAATTTCCAAAAAAGATAATTCACTTGTATGCATATATACGTAGGATATGGACCCGTATAAAGCAGCATTGACCACACAGAAGAAGAATGAATTGAGCATAATTGTCTGGTATCGTGGTTCTGGCTCCCCGATCTCTCTCCTAGGCCAGGAGCCGACGATCACTAACATGAACCGCACTATTTTTATGTAGATGTATTGGGATGGAGAACTGATGCCACTGAGGAAAGGAAATACTAAATAAATAGACATATTATTATATTGCGGTGGAAACTATGAGTTATAGTTGAGCCAATTTTTTATACATGTGCAATTGTGCATCCACCAAAAATTATGCTAAGCTGCTTACGTTTAGTTATAGGGAGTAGGATTAATAAAATTGTTGGTTTTTTATGGGATAAGCCGGTAAACGAGCAGACGGATCACCTGATGGTAAGCAATCGGTGCCGTCCATAGACACTTGACACACCAGAGGCGTTACAAGTGCGTTACCGGTCTTTTGGGAATTTGAGGATTGTGGGGGATTCGAGGATTGGAGTAATTGGGCCTCTTGATTACGAAAACTGAACACGAAAAATAATATTCAGCTTTCATGTCAAGATAATAACTGTTATATTAGCTTTGAAAAAAAAACTAAAGCTTACACCACAGATTCATTTTCGAAAAGGAATTTTTTGAGGTTCATTTTTGGATAAATTAAATCATTCCCAATATTACTGCGTCTTGGAATAGCAAATGTTTAAACCTTTTTGACTAATATGTAGTAATATCGTATTTATATATCACTGTGTGTATGTTTACCTTATGTTTACTCAATTCAAGGATTCAAAAACATAGAATTATCGTTTAAGCTTAGGTTAGATAAGATGTACAAGTTTGATTGAAAATTGAATTAGGGGGTGAGCTAGGGTGAGCCTATTGCCATATACCGGGCACAATTCCAGACTCCGTGCTACTACTGAGATCTTTTTTAAAAACCCAGTCATACTTTGCCCGACGTGGGAATCGAACCCGAGACCCCTTACCCGGCAGTCGCACTTGCGGCCACTCGGCCAATGAGGCAGTCAATATTAAAAATTATTCCCTTAACAAAATTTAACTGGCGTTAGAAAAATCGGCACTTAATTCCAAAAGTCTTACTTTCACTTCGAAGTTAAAATTGATAAAAGAAAATATTAACATCTTGCTTTCCGATTATGACATGCTGTTCATAAGTAATAAGAGCTAACGTATTCGCAACCGGACACACCCTTGTGTTCAAACCTTTACATTATTTTATAAAAACATACAGTAACAAGCGTACCATGTGTGTATTTCCCATAAAATCATCTAATTGATTGAAATTTCATACTAAAGCATTACTCAAATAACAGAGCAGCTTGTAATTGTATGCAAACATACATTAATAGTTTTATTTAATGTCCTTAGAAATGCCCTTTCATGTTTGCAAATCATGGCTCTATTATCTATTAATGAAATTGAATTATTTCTTTTCTCCTATATTAATGTCGCGTAAGTTGAGTGATTGAAAGTGCTACTAGCGAGCAAAGAGTCCAAAGGGTTTATTGTCTATTCGCAAGTCAATGAATAATTCTTTTACAAACTACGTTTAAAACCGACTTCAACCTCCTCTGTTTGGGGCCCAACAGGGCCAATGCCGATACGGAGTCGCGGAAAACCTAACGGGTAACCGGGGCTCCAGCTCGAAGTGCAGGAGTAGGAACGGGGTGGTTTTTAGTTAGTAAAATTCTCACCCAGACGGGAGAAGTCATTCGATGATTTTCCCCCTTAAAAAAATATATAAAAAAACTACAATATCATTTAATTGATCACCTACGAATGTAGTTCTATTATATTTATGTGTAATAGGGCATGGATCTATTGTCATATACAAGACATAATTCTAGGTTCCGAACTATAAATAAGAAATGTTTAAAAATCTCAAAAATCCACAATAACACTGCCTGACCTAGCCATCGAACCCACGCTCCTTGCTCGTCAGTAACATTCGAAACGAGGCATCAAATCATTAAAACCTATGTACCTCGTTTTTATATATGTTTTGTATGTGTGTACATAAATGATAAATAAATAAAATAACTTCAGTTTTAATCTAAACCTAATACAATCCGTAGTCCATAAATGCAGATCTATTATTAGAAGTTATTCCTGTTGTATACTTCCTGATCCCTTAGAGACCTAGGCCTTGCATTACCTTGATTTCAGGTCAAGGCTTCGAAGCCTAGATGATCCAGATTTAGATTAAACGCTTGCTTGGATAAGCGAGCCAGATGAAGCGACAAATTAACGTGATTTCCACAATGGACATTGTTATTACAATAGGGTAGACGACTAATTTTTATTTTAATGTCCGTCTGGTAAATTATTTAAAAACATTAGACACGTATTTTTTATTTCCTTACGGAAACGAATAGTTTCGAAGATATATTGATTTGAAATGTCGCGTGACGTCACTTCTCAGTACATTTTATGCTAAGGAATGACGTTTTAGCCCCCACTCCTAAACTTTGATTCGTTTTATCTAAGTATTGTTTTACTATACGACAAAATAAAAAAATACGTGTCTAATATTTTTTAATTACCTAACTTACGCACAAATTATATTTTTAATTTTCATACCCTGTCATCATCCCTATTGTAAATGTAATCTGGGACCACGGTTTAGAATATTACACATCTCATCAATAGTCTATATAGATGGCTACTGTAGGCTAAAGGCTTCTCGCATGGAGAAGGTTAGAGCATTAATCACCACGCTTGCTCAATGCGGTTGACGATTTCAAACTTATAATTAGAAAGTATAAGCCCAGGTTTCCTTACGATGTTTTCCTTCACATTTTGTACTAAACTAGTCTATTTCGATTTACCTACATTCTTAAAAGCATTAGAAAACAACTTCAATATTTGTTGTAACCATTTCCAACAACTACTCTTGACAGAAGAACCCGACCTTAACCCAGTTATAAAATCCAGGAAAAATAAAAATCGCTGTCCCAGTATATTTTATTTCATATTTATTAGAAGTGACTTTGACCTATTTCTCATAACTGAGACAAGATGGGTTTGAAAAAGGAACACAATTAAAAGTTAATTTCAAAGGGATCTTGGCAATACTGGCTTTCTTTTAATTAACTAACTAGTTTGTCGGATATCAGTGCGACAACTTACCATGAGGTCTAAATCGGGAGTTAAACTAAGTACTATTGTCAATTTTGTACCCAAAAGGGCTCCTCCTCATCAGAAAATAATTACAGAAACAATTATTCCTTTGAACTAGCTGTTACTTTAATAATAATCATAGCTCATGATATTTTCGACATGTAGTATGTGGTAAAAAAAATCTCAGTAGTAGCATGGAGTCTGGAATTGTGCCCAGTATATGGCAATAAGCTCACCCCCTATTACATGGGACTCATAATATAAATAGTGAAAAGTGGGTGTTCCATTGTAGTGGCATAATGTGCACCTCTACCTACCTCTTCGGGGATAAAAGGCATGATGTTATGTTATGTTATGGTATGGTATGTGGATTCAGCAACCATTGTGCTGATAATCATATCTGCCAATGGTCTTATAGCTAAAAGCCCTGACCAATACTTGAGTAAGCTAGCGTTAAATTGTTGGGCCCGATACAGTACTTCTGGACACAGCGCGTATTGTTCGAAAATTCCCCTCTCTAAAGCCCTGACTGAAGGTATATTGGATACCTCCCGTTACTCGTGGCTTAGTGCTTTTTACACTTATCTTCTTTTTCTTAATAATTAGTAAATAATAATACACTCATTTTAATATAACTCCAATCCCATAAAGAAAAAACCCAAGCACATTAACTATCATAAAAAAGGTACTCTAACATACTAAGTCATCGTTTTCCGACCTCGTATAGAGAATAGGTCAACTGTAAACCAACATGGCGGCGGCGGCGTGGGTAGGACTGTTTATTACGTACTATATAAGAAAGTTGCGTAAACATTAGTAATAAAACCTATATGCGTGAAATTAGGAAAGAGTAAGATGTTCCTGGTGGAATGTGGTTCTAATTACATGACAATATTATGCCCTTCCCTTTTTAAAGACGTTCGCTTCTCATGCATCTAAATGCTACTTCGTTCCCTATGAACAACGAATCGTACCAATATGACAGTCCCCGAGTTATACATAGGTATGTATGTACTTTCTAACATTATTTAGACACCACTGACAAACTGTGAACACCGTAAGGAATCCTGAGCTTATAATTTATAATTGACTGACTTTTGATTGCACGGTTGGCGCGGTGGGTGGCCGGCTGCCGCGCAATGTGTCGCGGGTTTGTTTCCCGTACGGAACAACTCTTTGTGTGATCTACAGATTGTTGTTCTGGGTCTGGGTGTATATGAACTTGCATGTTTGTAAACGCATCCACGACACAGGACAAAATCCTAGTGAAAATTTCTATAAAGGAAAGAAAAGAAAAGTAAATTATTATTATTATAAGTTTGAAATCGCTAGCCCGCATTCAATAAGCGTGAGGATTAATGCTCAAACCAAACGTTCGAGAAGAGGTCTCTGGTCAGCCTCAGCGTGGTCATAGGCTGTTGATGTTGTTTAATGATAGGCAGAGATATAAATGTTAAATGTGACACTTATCCTAACCAGTTATTTCATAAGTTAGTCACAATGATGTAACGTATGATATTCGACAAGCCTATTGCACCGACAACAGTTCCAAAACTGTATGCTGTGTCGTCGTTACCAATATTACTTTGTCTTGAACCGTGATCCCTTTCTTAGCAATCATGTATTCCACTGCTCGATGATTGAGGTAGTCCTTTGAATTATTTTGATATTAAACTGTCAAACACCAAGCGGTCACCGGTGACCGCAACCTATTGTTCTTTAATTGTGTCTATAATGACGGTACTCAACGAGTTAAACCTGACTAAACGAGACTTATACGTTCTATGAACTCCTAAACTCTTGACAAATTAATAAGAAATAAGTAACATAACATAACATCACGCCTTTCTTCCCCGAAGGAGTAGGCAGAGGTGCACATTATGGCACTTAATACCACTACACCACGTAACAGCCACTTTTCACAATTTTATGTTATAGGTCCCATATAATAAGGGGTGAGCTTATTGTAATATTTCAGGCACAATTCCAGACTCCGTGCTACCACTGAGAATTTGTTAAAAACCCATTAGTACTTTGCCCGATCCGGGAATCGAACCCGAGACCCGTTGCTCGGTAGTCGCACTTGCGACTGCTCAGCCAACGAGGTAGTCAGAAATAAATATATTAGTAAGAAATAAATATTAGTATTAGATTATATGAAAACATATTTACAAAGTTATCAACATAAATTCACTCGACAACCACAACATAAAGGCAACAAAGACAACATTCTACCTTACTCACTTATTGTTTTGTTAATTTACAACTAACAACGTTAATATAACTAAACGAGACAGTTTAACGCCCCGAACTTTGTAACCAATCAAACCAGGGACGTTACAAATACCATTGTAACGAAGATATTACGCTAATAAAACACCCCGTATTTGTCTAAAGAACTGAACAATATAATTCGCCTGTTGCGTTCGACGTGAACAAGAAATCAATGTCAACACACACATACCCGCCTGTTGCACGGCCCCTATCATTACAATACATACATATTACACACAGATAAAGCGTCGAGGAAATCGAACGCACACATAGATATTTTCAG